TCCCCAATGGAGAGATTCACCCTCTATTTGTATCGGTGACCATTTTCATCTAGAAAGAAAGAGAGGGAATTCCACCTTTTTTTAGTTGTCCACAGAACAAGAGGTAGGGAAGGGAACATCTTCCAATAGGGACACCTATTCCGGTGACAACCGTCTAAGAGGGGAGGTTTCCCCTAACTCCCTGTTGCTCCTTTGGGAAAGGAAGTGAACACAAATTTCTCAAATGCTACAAGACTGTGAAAAAAAACCCCCAGAAGGAACACAATTGGAGGACAGGGACAAAGAGTTGTCACTGTGTAAAAGGAAATGCCTGAACTTAGGCCTTTATGGCAGGATCAAAAGGGATTATTTGAATTAACCCTGCAGATTTTAAAGTATATGCAAACCCTCACTATGCAAAACAACCCATTCAGATTAAAATAGAAATGAAATACAAAACATTTTTGAATAGATATAAAAAACATCATAAATACATGTTTTCCTTTTTATAAAAGTGATCATATACCCTCTGTTCTCAGCTGCATAAGGAGCCCAGAGAGCTGGGGTAGAAGAAACAGCAGTACACTGAACTTGCTGAGCGGAGTAAGGGGGCAAGCACAAGCCTGATCATTAGAGAAGAGCAGGCTGAGTTCTCAGCACAGCTAGAGAAGGGACCATTCTGTGCTCTCATGCCTTGTGTGGTCAGTTTTTAAACCCCCCCCCTCTGTTCTCAGCTGCATAAGGAGCCCAGAGAGCTGGGGTAGAAGAAACAGCAGTACACTGAACTTGCTGAGCGGAGTAAGGGGGGAAGCACAAGCCTGATCATTAGAGAAGAGCAGGCTGAGTTCTCAGCACAGCTAGAGAAGGGACCATTCTGTGCTCTCATGCCTTGTGTGGTCAGTTTTTAACCCCCCCCCCCCCCCCGTTGTATTCCCGAGTGTAGCTCAGGGTAAAGTTTCAGTACCAAAATCGGTAACTCCAAGCTACATTCGGGATTACCTTGCAGCATCGCTCCGAGATGTCTTCTGCACTTACCTTGTCCTTCGCTCCCGCAATGCCCCCCCTGCAGCGTCCCCGGCCATCTCCTCCAGCTGATCCTTCCGGGTTCTAGTCCCTGTGAGCATCAGGATGTACGGGGGATGAAACCGGCGGGAGATTCAAACATTTTAAAAGTGACATTCACTCAATACACTAAAATCACATAGTATGACATTACTGTATCAAACCATTTCACATACATTTTGTCCCGAGTGCTTTGTCCGGCGCCCTGCCTGCATTTTTACTGTTCTTTCTGCCTGGGAACTGAGAAACATCCATGGCGTCCAAAAAGCGTCCCTTTAGGTCAAAAGCGGTTTTAGACCGGCTAGAGAACAGCGATAGTAAATCAGAACCACTTGCAGAATTGAGTGATAATGATTCGTGGGGGAAATTCCTCATCAGACACTGAAAACGATTCTGCGACTTTGCTCAGCGATGTGCGAACTTGGCGCTATATTTCAAATTTCAGTGTTTTTGGTTTGATTATATAATTGAATTAAATTTATTATTATTTTTTATGATTATTTATTACATTATAATTTATGATTTCGTGTTTCAAATTTTATCCTACCTGAGATGTTTACTAGACTCTTGTTTGGAGCAGATTTCAGTGAGTTAGTCCTAAGAATTACAGGCCTACAATAAAAAAGCGATATATTTCCATGCAAAAAAATGTACCGCTTTGAGCACAGAAATACTGACATAATCAGACCGCTAGGGAGGTTAATAGGGAACCCCAGAGATTTCACACACAAGAAGCAATACAAAGGATACAAAGAGGACAGGATACTTTTTCATACAAGTACATGGTACAGCAGACACATATCAGGAATAGGAAATGTTGGGTTAACATATGCATTAAAATCTAAAAACGTCTTTCAAACTGACGTAGCATGTTAAAGCTTGTATCCTATTTTAGCATTTGGGTTTACATTATCCTCCAAGATTTGAATCACTTGTGATATTTTAGACATGAATGACTGCAGAAGTTATCTGAACTTTAATAAACATAATGAAACCACTTAATGAAAGTGAAATAATAACTAATATTAGCGATAGCGACAATCAACGGGCGACAAAATAATCTGTCAATCGATATCACCTTAATGGCGTTGCGGGCATCAGGCCAAAAAGAAGTCTCACTGGCATCGAGTGGTTTGGTTTGTGTTATAACAGATTAAGCAGGAAATGTCTAATGCGTTGATTGGAAACATTATCTTATTTTTAAGGTGTGACTGTAAATTGTAAAAAAGAATTCTATAAATATAACATTTTAATGTACAGACTACACAGCAATATTTCATAAATTCAATATATAGAAAATATTCTTTATGAAAAAATGCTTCGCTTGTATGTGTATGTTAATGACAGGTAAGAATTGACAGAGAAAGATTAGAAAAGGGGGGAAAGCTGCCTGTGCCTAGAGAGCAGTGTCAGGTTTTCTAAAAAAAAAATTACAAGTACTGATATTTTAAGAGTTTTCATCCTAAATATTCCATTCTCTCTCTGTTTGTCACTTCCTTCTGAAAAAATGTCTTCTTTAATCCCCCTCTACCCTACCCCCTTCCCTATTTCCTTCATCCTTCATTATCCCTTCCTTCTTCTCTACCCCTTCCTTCTTTTTCTTTCTGTCTCTCTTTCATCCTTCCTTCTTTTATCCTCTCCTCTCTCCTTTCCTTCTTTCCATCCACCCCCCCCCCCCCCCCCACACACACACACACACACACACACACACTTTCTCTTTTCTGTGTTGCTTATCTTTTTCCTTCCTTCCTTCCTTTTTTCTCTCCTTTCTCCCTCCCTCCCTCCCTCCCTTCCTTCCTTTCTCCCGTCCTTCCCCTCTCCCTTTCTTCTCTCCTTCCTCTTTCCCTTCCTTCTCTTCTTCCTCTCTCCCTCCCTTCTCTCCTTCCTTTCTCCCTTCCTTCTCTCCTTCCTTTCTCCCTTCCTTCTCTCCTTCCTTTCTCCCTTCCTTCTCTCCTTCCTCTCTCCCTCCCTTCTCTCCTTCCTCTCTCCCTCCCTTCTCTCCTTCCTCTCTCCCTTCCTTCCTTCCTTCCTTCCTTCCTTCTTTCCTTCCTTCCTTTTTTCTCTCCCTTCTCCCTCCCTTCCTTCCTTCTTCCTTCCTTCCTTCCTTCCTCTCTCCCTCCCTTCTCTCCTTCCTCTCTCCCTCCCTTCTCTCCTTCCTCTCTCCCTTTCTTCTCTCCTTCCTCTCTCCCTCCCTTCTCTCCTTCCTCTCTCCCTCCCTTCTCTCCTTCCTCTCTCCCTCTCTTCTCTCCTTCCTCTCTCCCTCTCTTCTCTCCCTTCCTCTCTCCCCTCCCTTCTCTCCTTCCTCTCTCCCTCTCTTCTCTCCTTCCTCTCTCCCTCTCTTCTCTCCTTCCTCTATTCCTCCCTTCTCTCCTTCCTCTCTCCCTCCCTTCTCTCCTTCCTCTCTCCCTCTCTTCTCTCCTTCCTCTCTTCCTCCCTTCTCTCCTTCCTCTTTTCCTCATTTCCTTCTTTTTTACCTTCTCTACACTCCCATCCCCCACTTGAAGTGTCATCACACAGCGTTCTACCTGTTCCTTTCCCTCGGTGTCATTGCCCCCCCCCATATCAATCCCTGTACATTGTGCACTCAGCACTTGTTTAATGGTCTGTTGCTAATTTGTTATGTCAAGTCAGTGAAAATCTTTGCCTGAAATTGTGATTCCCAGAATAGATGATGAGTGATATAGAGAGGACAAAGTCTTTTTATTACCTCTCCCAGAAGCAGGCTATATACATTGCAGTCTAATACCATTCCCACCCCCCCCCCCCACTCCCTTCTTTTCCGATGATGAGGAAACAATTGTGATCATCACATGACATTCTAAAAGTTCTGTAATATATTCCTGTACATATCTTTGTAAGTAAAATTTGGCAACAAATCCTTGCCATAGCAGTGTGTGTCTGATTTTATGCCAAGCTAAAAAAAAGAATGCTGTCCTAAATCAATACCATCTGAAATAACATTCATTTTACAAAAACATCATCCAAACCTTCCCACATGGAAGAAAAAATATATTTGAAATATATTTTAAAAATATTCTTCCCAAATATATTGCCATATATTTGAAATGCTAAAATTTTGGCCGTATTCAATATATTTAAAAAAAAAATTATATATATATATATATATACACTGCATGTTGAAATGCGTTTTTATTGCAAAATATATGGAACATATTTTTACATTTCAGATATACTGTATGTCTTTAAAAAATACAAATCTACATTTTTGGAATGCATTTACAAATATATGTAAAAATCTATGTTAAAATGACTTTTTTATATGTTAAAAAAAATCATGAAGAATATGTTTAAAAAAATATATATTTTTAAAAACATCCCCTGTACTGCAATTAGTTGAAGTAAAATTGCATTGGCTTCAACTTCTGTGTCTTACTGAAGAGTTAAGCTGCCTGTGGATGGTGCCAAGTCAGCAGCTGAGCATACTGTCCAGAGAGACTGGCTCTAAGGAGGTATGTCAATGCATAAAGCGGCATTTGAAACTGAACAAACCCTAAACTTCTCTACCCCTCAAAATAAGCACTTTTGTTCACTTACTCCTTTTTAGCTGAAAAGAGCCAATCAAAGTGCTGTTCCTGCCTCTAATACCTGTCCATCACTGGCAGGAGAAGCAAGCTGTGATGGCGATGTTGGAGCTTGGGCTTCATGGCTCCTGAAGCCTACAGGGGCCGCCTGCCAGGGCTACTCTAATGTTAACGCTGAATTCCAGCAACTTTGTAAAAAGTGCAAGCACACCATGAGTTAAAGTGTTACTAAACCCAGGACCCTGCATTCATTATATCCAGTCTCCCCGGAACCTGCATTCACTATATCTGCTCTCCCCCGGACCCTGCGTTCACAATATTTGGTCCCCCCGGACCCTGCATTCATTATATCCAGTCTCCCCGGACCCTGCATTCACTATATCTGTTCTCCCCGGTCCCTGCATTCACTATATCTTGTTTCCCCGGACCCTGCATTCACTATATCCGGTCTCCCCGGGCCCTGCATTCACTATATCCGGTCTCCCCGGACCCTGCATTCACTATATCTTGTCTTCCCAGACCCTGCATTCATTATATCCAGTCTCCCCAGAACCTGCATTCACTATATCCTGTTTCCCTGGACCCTGCATTCACTATATCTGGTCTCCCCAGACCCTGCATTCACTATATCTGGTCTCCCCGGACCCTGCATTCACTATATCTTGTCTCCCCAGACCCTGCATTCACTATATCTGGTCTCCCCGGACCCTGCATTCATTATATCCAGTCTCCCCAGAACCTGCATTCACTATATCCGGTCTCCCCGGACCCTGCACTCACTATATTTGGTCTCCCCGGACCCCGCATTCACTATATCCGGTCTCCCTGGACCCTGCATTCACTATATCTCGTCTCCCCGGACCCTGCATTCATTATATCCAGTCTCCCCAGAACCTGCACTCACTATATTTGGTCTCCCCGACCTTGCATTCACTATATTCGCTCTCCCAGGACCCTGCATTCACTATATCTGGTCTCCCTGGACCCTGCATTCACTGTATCTGGTCTACCGGACCCTACATTCACTATATCCGCTCTCCCCGGACCCTGCATTCACTATATCCGCTCTCCCCGGACCCTGCATTCACTATATCCTCTCTGCCTGGACCCTGCATTCACTGTATCCGGTCTCCCTGGACTCTGCATTCACTATATCCGCTCTCCCCGGACCCTGCATTCACTATATCCGGTCTCCCCGGACCCTGCATTCACTATATCTGGTCTCCCCAGACCCTGCATTCACTATATCTGGTCTCCCACAGTACACAGAACATGGAAATGTAATTATTTTAGTAAATATAAACTGCTAAATACCTTTTCTCATCAGCAGTATATAGCAGTCTGGTGACTTCTATCAGTGGCCAGCTAAACATTGGTTAAAGATTGTAGGAGGAGTTTTCATTCTCCTCTGACTGTCCTATGAAGCTGCATATCCCCTGACCTCTGTCTGGACAGTGCTGATTGGCCCTGTGCTGATCACATGCACCCTCCCAAAGAAGAAAAACTCTCCAGCCATACACACTAAACTGAGCATGTGCAGAGTGTCTCCTAGAGCTCTGTACTAACAGCAGATGGATTGGGGACGGTAGAAGAAGGGGAGGATCAGAGAAGACAGGATCAAACAGCCTTTTTACACAATGCAGAGGATTAACCCCTTAAGTTCCACAGTGAGTATAACAAGCATGCTTTACCGCATCTACAGACTGATTTCACTGTTGTGGGTTTAGTAACACTTTAAGACTGCCTGCCACATCATGGGCTTATCTCTATTATTTATACCCAACAGGTTTATGGACGGAGGATACACTTCAAACTCAGGTCTTTCAAAGAGGAGAAAAGCACAGACAGCAGCTATGCCCGCCCCTCCCTTCTGCTGCCCATTCTCAGAAGTCTTTGTATTTTGTGAATGAGTTCACACAATGCAAAGGTTTCTGTGATTGGGCAGGAGGAGGAAAGGGGCGGGCATAGTATCTTCACTGACTCTACACTTGAAGGGGCTGAGTCCAGCATGGGAACTCCAGAAGCTATCCTGCTGGAGCATAATAAACACGTCAGATATAAATAATAGATATAGACCCAGAAGGTGGCAGGCACCTCGTTGGACTTAGCAAGAACAACAGGTGTGATAACAAAATGTGCCGTCACTCCTATTAAAGCATGTATGGAAAACCCTCTTTCTTGTAGGATTTTAAAGGCATAGACAACACCAATAGAGTCATTGGAGAAGTAAAAACCATTTACAAATCATGTTTTATTGATACAAAATGTTAAAACGAACATAAACATAGAAGTGCCTAAACAAGCATGATACATAGCCCAACATAGCAGAAAACATGAAAAAAAAGCCAGTTGACTAAAACCAGAAATCACGTAGATGTGGCCAGTATTTCCAATCAGATCACCCCTGGCCAAGGTGATCCGATTAGAAGTTCTACCCACCTCAGTATTCTGGGACACGTCCCAGGTTCAAGACTGCAGGGCAACTCGCAAAGCGAAGGTATGGATGCTACTCAACCGACACCAGTAGTCCAATGTTGAGGAATGGCCTCAGCTGCCATTCTGACGTGTTTCGCATCAAAGGGTGTGTCCAGAACAGCGGCTGAGGCCAAGGTGATCCGATTAGAAGTTCTACCCCCTCAGTCTTCTGGGACACGTCCCAGGTTCAAGAAGACTGCAGGGCAACTCACAAAGCGAAGGGATGGATGCTACTCAACCAACACCAGTAGTCCAATGTTGAGGAATGGCTTCAGCTGCCATTCTGACGTGTTTCGCATCAAAGGGTGTGTCCAGAACAGCGGCTGAGGCCAAGGTGATCCGATTAGAAGTTCTACCCCCTCAGTCTTCTGGGACACGTCCCAGGTTCAAGAAGACTGCAGGGCAACTCACAAAGCGAAGGGATGGACGCTACTCAACCGACACCAGGAGTCCAATGTTGAGGAATGGTCTCAGCCACCATTCTGACGTGTTTCGCATCAAAGGGTGTGTCCAGAATGGAAGCTGAGGCCATTCTTCAATATTGAACACCCTGGGGTCGGTTGAGTAGTGTCCATTCCCTTCACTTGTATTGGTTGACACTGGAATCTCTCAGACTCATGCTCCCCTCTTCTCACTTGCCGATGGGGTAACCCCTTTCCTTCCATCCATAGCTTGGAACAATACCATAAGGTATACTTTCCACTTTGGCCATGCACAAAGCGCAGCGCATGTACAGTGGGCGGCCAGCTGTTAAGCTGCAAACAGCAGTTGGGTGTCGGTGCCGGCAACTCAAAGGCTAATGAAGAACCAATATGGGTGAGGACGGCGCTGGATCCCTAGACAGGTAAGTGTCCTTTTAGTAAAAGTCAGCAGCTACAAGATTTACCACTCCTGACTTTTATTTTATTTTTTTTTTTTTCTCAGAGAAGAACTCCTTTAAACCTAGAGGGTATTTTTTCTCAGAGACATTTCCTCTTACTGCTTGGTGTGTCTCTGGCACAGAAAACGAAGGGAAAGTTCTGCAGCAGAACAAAGCAAACAGAACGAAAGGGTTCATATTAGGGGCGGACTGACCATTTGGAAACTCGGGCACTGCCTGAGGGCTGAGGGGTCAGTAGGGGGCCCCATGAGATGCCCCTGGTACCTTTTTCATTGGCTTTTTGGAGTTTGGGCAAGGACACAGGGGCCCCATGATCCCCTATTGCCCAGGGGCCCCATGAGTTGTCAGTCCGCCCCTGGTTCATATCACCTACTTTATCCCAAACCAAAGAAGCTTACACTTTAAATATAATCTGTTACGCAAGCTGCCTCTGTTTACAATCTTCCCGTAATATTCAAATATTTTATTGCATGTTCACGTGGACAAGCAATCTTATCTGTGTGATAATGCAAAGAAAGGAGTGTTTCCCTTCGGATAAGCGTGTGGTTGTGCTGACGACATATGTTATGTTTTTAATGCACATAACATGCAGGGATTCCCCAGTTTCTGGAAATCCTCAGTTTCTCGGTGATATAATATATTATCGTTTCTTAAGATTTCAAGTTTCAAGGTGAAATAAAGTTTATTTCCGTTCTTCCTATGTGTGGAGGAAGCATCTCTCGCAAGTGATAGACCACAAGCGTCACACGCCCCATACTTCACTGCACTGACATGCTTCATTATCGTGTATCTCAGGAAGCTTACACAGTATATCTTACATGACAAGGATAGAATATACGCCTTCCAGCCTAACCAAGCCTGCTAGGCCAACCCTCCACCGTTCCAGCTATACAAAATACACAAACCAAGTTTTTAGAGTCAAAATGGCCATAGCAGCCTTTTATTAACCAATACATTATTTCAACATAAATAACATAACATTCCAAAAATTATAAACAGAGGAAAAATGCGGTGGTCATGTGAGGGCCATAAACCCGACTTGACTTTTGCGGAAAACATTCCTTCAACTTAGGCCCCCAGCCACAACCCACCGGCTCGGGGACAATCCTACTTATCCCCAGCCACAACCCACCAGCTCGGGGACAATCCTACTTATCCCCAGCCACAACCCACCAGCTTGGGGACAATCCTACTTATCCCCAGCCACAACCCACCGGCTCGGGGACAATCCTACTTATCCCCAGCCACAACACACCAGCTTGGGGACAATCCTACTTATCCCCAGCCACAACCCACCAGCTTGGGGACAATCCTACTTATCCCCAGTCGCAACACACAGGCTTGGGGACAATCCTACTTATCCCCAGCCACAACCCACTGACTCGGGGACAATCCTACTTATCTCCAGCCACAACCCACCAGCTCGGGGACAATCCTACTTATCCCCAGTCACAACACACCGGCTCAGGGACAATCCTACTTATTTCCAGCCGCAACCCACCGGCTCGGGGAAAATCCTACTTATCCCCAGCCACAACCCATCAATTCGAGGACAATCCTACTTATCCCCAGCTGCAACACACCGGCTCGGAAACAATCCTACTTATCCCCAGTCGCAACCCATCAACTCGGGGACAATCCTACTTATCTCCAACCGCAACCTACCGACTCGGGGCAATCCTACTTATCCCCAGCCACAACCCACCGACTCGGGGACAATCCTACTTATAACCAGCCACAACCCACCAGCTCGGGGACAATCCTACTTATAACCAGCCACAACCCACCAGCTCGGAGACAATCCTACTTATCCCCAGTCGCAACACACCGGCTTGGGGACAATCCTACTTATCTCCAGCCGCAACCCACTAGCTCGGGGACAATCCTACTTATCTCCAGCCATAACACACCGGCTCGGGGACAATCCTACTTATCCCCAGCCACAACCCACCAGCTCGGAGACAATCCTACTTATCTCAAGCCACAACACAACGGCTCGGAGACAATCCTCCTTATCCCCAGTCGCAACCTACTGGCTCGGGGACAATCCTACTTATCTCCAGCCATAACACACCGGCTTGGGGACAATCCTACTTATCCCCAGCCACAACCCTCCAGCTCAGGGACAATCCTACTTATCCCCAGCCACAACCCACCGATTCGGGGACAATCCTACTTATCTCCAGCCGCAACCCATCGGCTCGGGGACAATCCTACTTATCCCTAGCCGCAACCCCCCGGCTCGGGGACAATCCTACTTATCCCCAGCCACAACCCACTAGCTCGGGGACAATCCTACTTATCTCCAGTCACAACCCACAGGCTCGGGGACAATCCTACTTATCTCCAGTCGCACCCCACCGACTCAGGGACAATCCTACTTATCCCCAGCTGCAACACACCGGCTCAGGGTTAACCCAACTTTTTTTCCTTTCTCTGTTATGGCATATGGTGGGTTGCTGGCCTTTTGGAAACTATGGAGACCTTTTCACTGCCATTGGCCCCCCTCTAGACCCTGCTCCAAGGCTGCTTTTCCTTTCTCTGTCATGGCATGTGTTGGTTTGCTGGCCCTTTGGAAACTATGGAGACTTATTCACTGCCATTGGTCCCCCTCTAGACCTTGCTCCAAGTCTGGTTTTCCTTTCTCTTTCATGGCATATGGTGGGTTGCTGGCCCTTTGAAAACAATGGAGAATTTTTCACTGCCATTGGCCCCTCTAGACCCTGCTCCAAGGATGCTTTTCCTTTCTCTGTCATGTCATATGGTGGGTTG